AATGGGCTCTCTCGGGAGAGCCGACCAAGTGCCTGTAACTTTTATACCCTCGCGAGGAACATTAGAAATGCATTAACTCTCGCTGGTGAATGTCTATCTCGGACGACCCTCGGGAACCGACATGCGATCCCTCACAACAAAATGTTCGCAAATCTTCACCCTCCGATTTCGATAAAATTCGGTAGATTTGCGGGGCAAATACTACGTCAATGTGAAATCTGTAAATGTGATAATCTGTCTGTTGATAAATTCGAAACTCTGCGAAAACTCGTTTAATCATGTATTTTAGAAAAATCTTAAATCTTTGAATTATTTCTTTCTATTCCTTAAGTTTTTCATTCCTAAAATTTAAATATCAACCTAAATAGAAATATATGTCATGGTTATTTCCTCCTTTTGCAAATTTTCTTCACCAAGATCGTAAAAAAAGAGTTGAAAAAATTCCTTTCGTAACACACGTAATGCTGCAATATGTGTCATGTTTATTCAACCGTGCGAATTATCCTATCTGCCATCGCTACCAGGACAGCTGGCACTCGCCGATACCGAAATCAATTTCCTGTTTGGGAAAAAATTAGCTAGAGCAACGCGACTCATTGAAATAATCGCATTAACGACTGTCACATCCTGTCACTCCGATATACAGTCACATTTTAACAACAGTAAACGAGTAAACTTTTTCAGAGCATCGATGCTACAGATCTATAATTTCATTAAAAAAAAATCTTTATCAAGTTTTAATAAAAATAAACTGTCGTTATGTATTCTAAATGTTTCTAAATGTTATTTTCTTTCGCAATAGAGTGCCTTTAGAACGAGATGATTTTATGGAACGAAAATAGAAAACATAATAGCTAGTGCACCATTGACGTTCCGGAAGTAATTTCGCGCATTTAACGAGCGTGACTTAGACAATGGCTACGCTAATGATTCGCAGGTGTTTCGCGAGAGAGACTCATTGACATATCGACGGTATTCCGGCAAACGACATGTTCATCGAACATGCTTCGTATGTTCGTAGCCTCGTCCCTTTTACTATCGATACACACCGTGTATCGATATTAATGCCTGAAAAACGGTGCGAAATATACACGAGCAACAAACTATCGTTTGTTTTAACTCCTCTATTCTTTCGCTAGATAAATTATGGGTATTTATCCGGTTCACCGGAGCATGTTCGCCGGGAATATCGTCCAACTAACTCAAACGCGATCAACAAGAAAGAGAGAGAGAAACACACGTATTCGATGTAGGTATGAACGTCGAAAAACGCCGATAGTCATCGAGAAAGAAAGAGAGAAAGAGAGAAAAATCGTCCATTGTTCGGTTGTATCTGCGCATCGATATGAAACGTTTCGAAATGCTCGTCGTACCATTTCCACCGCGTGCACGACAATTTCGCCATCGATTTAATGCGATTGTGAGATAAATCGATAATCGGTATTCACGCTCGCTTCCTACCGAGTACCGTACCACGGCATAATTGGGGCGTTACGAAAATGGTGGACATTTAAAGTGACAGCATTGATTTTTTTGGAAAGGATATCTTACATTCGAAATTAATAAATTTAATGCATTATATATATAAATACACGATTAAATTGTATTTCAACAAACTTCCGCAATTAAATTCTCTTATTTCGAATTAATATTCTTAGCTACGCGCTTATACATAATAAGGTTGCTCCTCTTCATCAAACGAGGAGCGAAATCGCTAATTTCCTTGCCGACGGCTCTAGGTTTTCGCGATACT